CACCAGTGAGGTCACCCTTCTCATGCACCCATAGTGATATGGGAGCAGCATACCGTGTGGTGTGATCCCATGTTAGGAAGAGGGTCTGAAAGAAACATCCATTGGAGGTGGGCAGGTGCAGGGCCGGCCCCAGCATATTTTGCACCCTAGGCGAGAATCCCTTCTGGCGCACCCCCCATGTGCCCCTGTCAGAGCTAGCAGGGGTGCTTTTGGTGGAGATGGGTGCAGTTTGGCGCCCCTAAGGGCCGGGGTGCTCTAGGCGAACACCTAGTTCGCCTAGTGAGTGAGCCGGCCCTGCAGGTGGGTTAATGTCCCCTCATCAGGACCTGGTTCATATGAGAACATGGGTACCACCTGACCAGCTGCTGAAAACATGAGCCTACGCCACTGACAAGAATTGCGTTTAAGATAAATAAAATTCCCATTTGTAGAGCTGTAGCTGTGCCCGTTCATCAGTAGATAAGGTAGTTATCATGGGATCAATATGCATGTGACAACCAGCCTGGAAATTAGAGACTGACAAATATGCTAAAGATTTCCCTCTTACAGATCCTTATCTGTACTATTAATCCTAGGGCTCCCCTAGGAAGGGGGACTGGCCATTACACCACTTTAAGCCTGTAGCGTAAATAAATAAGCACAAAGATCCAAATACTCATTGAGTCATAGGCCAAATTCACACATGTCCTCGAAAGTACTCTTCAGCCTTTTCCCTGCCCTTAGGTTTGCCAGACCCCTGGTCAGGGTGAGTTTCCCCCCGATTTCGCGGGCTCCAATCCACCACCGGCCAACTGGCCAGCAGGGGAAGCCCCACCTCTGAATAGCCCCCTCCCACATAGACGTCACTGGTGCGATGATGTCACCAGGAAATGATATCATCACGCCAGGCACACCGGGCATCAGTGCTCTCACAGTTTGGCTGAAATTCTATGGTAACCATAGAGTTTTTGGCCAAAGCGCCAGAGTGTTGATGCCCGGTGTAATGACATCACTTCCTGGTGATGTCACTGTGGTGCGCACACTTCACCCGTGCACAAGAAGATCTCAGGATGGACCCGGGAGGCCCCTGCTAAAAGCCAGGTAAGACCAGGTAACCCTAGTATATGTAAGTGAAAAACAGATACTGTTTTTAAAATGTTCTTGTACAGGGGTTACTGAATCAATTAAAGGGCTTGCGGGAAATCTGATTTACAACCACATTTCAACCTTCTTGTGCTTCATGAGAGTTCGGAGAGAAGAATACAACATCAGTTCTAATCAGGGGTCATTTTGTAGGGGAAAAGGTGCAGCTCATTAGCATAACTCATTAGCATAACTAATAACTAAGCAAGCGGGCACAGGAAGGCATTTAAATGCCTCACCACTCCTTGCAGGGCCTTTCCCAGCTCGCACGCCTCGGCAGGTGGGCCATGGAGGGGGCTCTCCAAGCCTTGGCTGGGGAAGGCATAGGGTTGGGGAAGGCACAGGGAGGCATTTAAATGCCCCCCCGCTCCTTCCAGGGCCTTCCCCGGCTCGCCTGCCTAGGCATGTGAGCCAGGGAAGGTGGGGGGGCTGCTGGGCTTGTTACTGCCAGAACGGTGTTCCTGCTCGTTCCGACTGGAAATGAGCACTGGTTCTAATTCCCCAACCACATCTCTCTGCTTGCCAGTCCCAACATGGAACAATCTAGCTTGCTAGTTTTGAGGTCAATTAGAAAGATTTTACAGGTCTGGTACCAGTGTAATTTCCTTAACTGGCTGTTGGCCAGCTCTGGGTTGGAAAATACCTGGCATTTTGGGGGGGGGTGGAGCCTGAGGAGGGCGGGGTTCATGGAGGGGAGGGGCTTCAATGGGGCATAATGCCACAGAGTCCACCTTCCAAACCGGCCATTTTATCCAGGCGAACTGATCTCTCTCACCTGGAGATCAGTTTTAATCCTAGCAGATCTCCAGCCGCCACGTGGAGATTGGCACCCCAAAGCAGGAGGTTTGTAAAGAACAAGTGTGCTGGTGTTTCGGTTGTTAGCATGCATGTATGCACAGATGTCGTGAAAGCAGCTCCAGTCTGAGGACAGTGTGCACCTGTGGTTACCAAAGCCTGTCAGGTTCTGGTTTCAAAAAAGGAGCTACCAGAACCAATACTCCCTTGTGAGCAAAACTTCTACTTTATGAGCTACTGGCATTAAAGCTGTGAGTGAGCAATTTGGCTACTGCATAAGTTTGCTCTGGAGCCAACCTTTCTGAGCTAGGACAAAAATGGGGTGAGCTGGAGGCTAAAAAACTGTGAGCTAGCTCACACTAACTCATCTTAGAGGGAACACTGACCAGAACCTGTCTGTAAAGGGGTCCTTGGCTGTCTGCCCAGGTGCAGAGTGTCTGTCCTTTATCCCTGAACAGGCTTTGTCAGTCCTCCTATCATTCTACAGTTTGACCCCCCCCCCCCCCCCGCGGTGCAGGAGATACACTCTTTTGATTAAGGAAGCGTTTGCAACTAAGGTTGTGTTGGATTTGTTCGGCCCCAGGGAGGGAAAGGGGAAAGAGAGACACTTTCTCTAATTAGCCTGTCTGCTTTCTTTAGACTGGAAAAAGAATGAGGCCAGACCTGCCCCGTTTATCCAAAGGGCTCTTCTCTCCTTGTTGGTGGCACACCCACCCTCCAGAACTGCTGGCAGAGAGAGAAAAACAAAATTATTTAATTTTCAGATGTTCCGCAGAATGACATTTTTGTAGTCTCATGTAACCAGGAATGCATAATCACGTCCCAGAACTGTCTTCAATACCACAGGCGTGAAATAAAACAAAAAGGAAAGAGAAAAAAAATAATTTAATATAAAACGATAAAGTTTTGGCTGTACAGCAAGTTTCAGATGCAGCTGCTGTGGCCCGAAGAAGATCCTGGTCCGGAAGTCTTAGGGGGAAGGAGAGAGAAAGATAGAGCCAAAACAAACTTGAAGGAAAAAACTATCTAGCTAAGGACCCACGGTTGAATTTGCTTCCAGAAATACACACTAATATCCTCACTAAGATCACCGCCTTGAGGCCACCTGCAGAATTCGCAGGGCTGGCAGCCTCCAGGTAGGAACTGGAGTTCTCCTGGAATTACAACCAGTCTCCAGGCCATGGAGATCAGTCCCCCTGGAGGAAAGGGCCGCTTCAGAGGGCGGCAGACTCTGAAGTTTCATCTTCACTGAGTTCCCTTCCCTTCCCCAACTCTGCCCTCCTCAGGCACCGCCCCCAAACTTCCAGGAATTTTCCAAGGGGGGGGGCAACCCGATGCAGGAGCTGCCTCACCTCCCATTTGCACCTTACAAAATCCTCCTGTTTGTTAGGAAACAACACAAAGGACGATGCGTCCAGTGCACAAGAGTAGTTTCCTGCCTCCCAAATGCAGTGGGGCTGCCAGGTCCCTCCTGGCCATGGGTGGAGGATGGGGTGGAAGGCAGGGCTGCTAGCTCCAGGTTGGGAAACTCCTGGAGATCTGAGGTGGGGCCTGCGGGAATCCCCTGGAATTACAGCTCATCTCTAGACTACAGAGATTGGTTCCCCTGGAGAAAACGGGTGCTTTGGACGGCGGGCACTATGGCCTTGTACCCCACTGAGGTCCCTGGCCTCCCCAGGCTCCATCCTGAAACCTCCAGGAGCTCCCAGGGGGTAGGGTTGTCAGCCTCCAGGGGGTGGCTGGAGATCTGCTATTACAACTGATTTCCAAAAGAAGAAGGAGATATTGGATTTATACCCCGCCCTTCACTCGGAGTCTCAGAGTGGCTTACAAACTCCTTTCCCCTCCCCTCCCCACAACAGACACCCTGTGAAGTAGGTGGGGCTGAGAGAGCTCTTTCGAGAACTGCTCTTTCAAGGACATCTCTGACAGAACTATGGCTTTTCCAAGGTTATCAGCAGCTGCAGGTGGGGGGAGGGGGAGTGGGGAATCAAACCCGGTTGTCCCAGATTAGAGTCCGTGCACTTAACCACTACACCAAGCTGGCTCTCTTCCAGGCGACAGATCAGTTCTCCTGGAGAAAATGGCCATTGTAGAAAGCGGACTCTATGGCATTCTACCCCACTGAAGTCTCTCCCCTCCCCAAACCCTCCTCTCCTCAGGCTCCACCCCCAGAATCTCCAGATCTTTCCCATCCCAGAGCTGGCAACCCTAAGTTTCAAGGAGGCTTGCAGAATCAACCTTCAACGGTGACTCAAGAGGGGAGGATCCCGTTCAGATTTTCTCCCTCCAGCACCAAAATATCCCGGCAAAGCCCTTTCCTTCACAATTCACAATACTGGGTTGGATCCAGGCAGCTTTCCCACCCAATCTTATTTGGGGAGGGGCTGTGGCTCAGTGATAAAACATCTGCTTGGCATTTAGAGCGTTCCAAGTTAAATCCGTGGCATCCCCAATAAAAACAGTCAGGTAGCAGGTGACGTGGAGGACCTCAGCCTGAGGCCCTGGAGAGCCGCTGCCAGTCGGAGTACAGAATAGAGACCCTGATGGACCAAGGGCCTGATTCAGTATAAGGCCGTTTTCCTGGTTCCCTAGTACAGACCCATCCTTCATGGCTTTTTGTCCCTTCAGGTCCCATCATCCCCCCCCCCCCCCCCTTCATCACAGCAGCAGAAAAACTGTTTGGATCCAACCCGTCATGTGTAACTGTGTGGCCTTCAAAGCATATCAGCAAGACTTGTGATCTTGAGGTGGTGTTTGTTCATTCATTTGTTTAAAAGCATCCTTTTACAAAAGAAGTTTGAAAAAGATCAAGATTTTCAAACTCTGGGATTTGGGTCCCAATATCAAAATCAAATCATCTTCCATTTGGGTTCCCCTTCGTCCTTACGGAGTGAGAAAAGAAATCGACCGATCGTGACCAGGAAAAACAGGGTGCTGGTGCCCTGATGTGGACGCCCATTCCTTTCTGAATAAATATCCTTGCGGGCTCCAGCATTCCCCAAGTCTGGTTGGCTTCTCAGCTGGGTCCTGAGCACCAAATATCCGAAAGGAAGGAGTTTGTGGCCAGAGGCCTCTTGGCATCAGTGGAAGGTCTCCGAGCTGGATCGGAAATGGAAGTGTGACGGAGGGCAGCCCTGTCCCGAGCAGCTTGAGAAAGAGTTCCTGGGAGAGAGAGAGGTCACTGGACACAGCACGGGCGAGCTCGAATGAGAAGAAGTCATACTGGCCATCTGTCCGCGGTGGCTGCCTTGTCCGGTGTCCATCCAAGGTGAATGGTATTGATGGGAGGGGCCCGCGGGATCACAGGAGGCGCAACCCAGCCGCTCCTGGGATCCCCAATGCCCCGTGCACGGGGAGGCGGCAGAAGGCAAGGAGGCGGAGGAGGCGGAAAAGTCTGTGCTGGCAGAAGTGGGAAGGCTGGGCGCCGGCTTGGAAACCGAGGCCTGAGATGAAGGCTGGTGTGCTGGTTGCCCGCTTACAGGGGGCAGGGAGGGCGAGGTCTGGCCACTGCTAGGAGGACGGGTCGAGGCGAAAGCGGAGGCGGAGGAGGAAGAGGACAGAGTGGTCAGCTGGTTCTGAAGGAGGCCCATCAGAAGTTGCAGCTCCTGGCTCAGGTGGGAGACTTCCTGGTTCAGGTGGCTGATCTGGGAAAAATCAGGGAAGAAGTAAAGGTAGCAGGGAGGGAAGACTGGGAGGAAGGTCTTTGCTGAGCTTCTGCTTTTCCCTCCCTCTTGCAGGTATAAAGCTTGGTGCAAGCCTTTTTTTGCCCCAAGCCAAAGGCCAAGTACCAAAGGGCTATTAACCCGTGGGCTCTCGGCACATAGCTTGCACCCTGTGGCTTTCTATGAGCCGCCCGGTGAATCCGGGACCAGCCCAAGCCACGGTTTGTCGGCTGCTTTATTTACACTGCATATTTATATCATTGTCAGCTGCTTTGGGTTCCTTGATGGAGAAAGCTGCTTGGATCCACCCCTAGGAGCTGATTCATATGCTACCGGAACACACCCCACTCTGTGTCCTGTCTTACAAGTGGTACTGGTGGGATCCAGCCACTTGGAATCAGAAACAAGTGTGGTAAAGAACACAGACCTCCATCAGTCGATAAAAGGCAAACTGCGTGAGTGTGCAGAGGCCATTCAGATTGGGTCGATGCAGGCAAGGTAGAGAGGATTTAACCCTTCAACCCCCAGCTCTGTTTCGTTAGTTAAAACTGCTTTCTCTGTGCCGTCCTAAGCATTTTAAAGGGGGAAAGATGGGCTTCTAAAGGATACCGTTTAAAATGCTAGCCCTGTGGGAAGTCCAGTTTCAATCAGTAATGGGAGGTAAAGGGTTAAATTCCCTCCCTCCCACCCACCCCATCCCCCCAGACGGGCGAGGGGGTCCTGCTGCAGGGTCCCCAGGGAGCAGAGGATGAGAGGTAAGGTGGGGATGCATGTGTGTGCGGCGCGCGCGCGCACACACTCCAGGCCCCCTCCCTTTCCCCAGGGCCCCCCCACAAGGAAGGGGTTAGCTACGGCCCTGTTGGGCCAGCAAGGTTTTAGCAGAGAATTCCATTGTTGCACATTCCCCCCACCTTCCAAATAAAATGCAGTGACACCCTTTCATAAATAAGTCCACAGAAAGTTTCCAAGCCTAATAAATCCTCTCTGTAATAGCCCTCCTGCTACCCCTGCCCAAAACATCTACCCTTTGGGGCTCAACGTAGCCTGTCACGAAAAAAAAGAAGAAGCAATTATTCTCATGGTTTTCTAAATCTTTCACATCCAGGCCCTTGGGGGTGATTCTCCCAAGTTATCAGGTGACAGGTTGTTTGCAAGACATGGGCCTTTTGGGCCGGGAACGGGACGGAACGGGGGCGGAGCAAACGGGCGCGATCCCACCGCAACATCTGGGAAGCGTACCGTCTCCGTCCCTGATCCAGCCCTTCCAGCGCTGCTCTGCACCAAAAAAGAACCACCTACCGAGGTGGTTCTTTTCGAAGGGCCGCAGCAACGCTGACGTTGGGATCGCCGGCGCGTCCTTGCGCCAGCGCATCCCCGCTCCTGGCCGAACTGCGCATGTGTGAGCATGCGCAGTTCGCCAGGCTCCCCTCCCCACCGTCGCTTTCTCCCCAGCATCTGATCGTGCCGGGGAGCGACGGCGCCGCGGCTCGGGGGATCCGTGAGATCCCACCGCGCCATCTCAACTTTGCTGCGGCTCACATTAGCCACAGTTCGAGCGTCCTTTTCCCTGCCGTGTGGCAGGGACCTCAGTTTAGTAAGGTTTTATGGCAGTATTACAGTTTGGTTTTGATGCAATACAGTATGAGCATGATTGGACTGGGGCAGTGTTCCGTCTAAGCTGAGTTAGTGTGAGCTGGCTCACCATTTTGTAGCCTCCGGCTCATACATTTTTGTCTTAGCTCAGGAAGGATGGCTCCAGGGCAAACTAATTTATGCAATATTTATTTATTTATTTAATTCAATTCATACCCCGCCCTTCCTACCAAATTGCTCGCTCACAACTTTAATGCCTGTAGCTCACAAAGTAGAATTTTTGCTCACAAGACTCCACAGCTCAGAGGGAGCATTGGACTGGGGCTGCTGCGATAATCAGAAAGTTCTCAGAGGCACTTCCCCCCCCTCCTCTCCCAAGCACCTTCCCAAGCACTTTCCAAGCACCTCCTCCAGGCAATGCCTCTTCTTGAAAGAAAAAGACTAATATGCAGTTCCTGTCATCTAACAGCAAACTTTGGAGTGCCTTCACCATGCCTGACTGAGCACAACCAGAATTAAGAACAGAGCTTGCCGGCAGGACTTCCCATAGCAGCCTGAGCCCTGGGGCTCTTCTCCTCTCACACATTAAGTATTGCTCCCTCTCCTTTAGGGCTGATCAGTTCCCCTGGAGAAAACAGCTGCTTTGGAAGGGGGGCTCTGTGAGCGATTTCACACTATCTTTCTAAACTGAATGGTTTCCATTATTGTCCCGTCAGGGAGTAAACCGGTTACCGTTACAGGGAGGGCAGATTCACACAGCATTTCCCTTCCGGTAAGGAGCTGTCTCTGAAGCGGTGTGTCATTTCAAACTGTGCTGCTTTCTTTTCCCACCATTTCCCCCCCACGTGCACCATCTTCCTGAGAGGGTTTTTTTTAAAGTTCTATTGGGAGCGCTATGGCGCTGAAGCAGGATCACGAATCAGTGCCATAGCGACCCCGCTGAGATTCCTGGACTCCATTTAGATACACTGACATTTGCTACTTCTGTCACCTGGAAACAAGGACCTCACTGGATACCAGGGGTCATTTCGTAGAAAAAGAGGTGCAGGAGCGCATTAGCACAACTCATTTGCATATGCCACACCCCCTGACATCACCGGAAGTGTGTCAGAAGGCAACACCCACCACTCCACTGGACTGTTTTGGATTGCTGCGTAGCTATTGGGGGGGAACATGCAGATCTGTCCTCGCAGAGGAGGGAGAGCTTGTACCTGAAGGTGGGATGGGGGGGGGGGCTCTGCAACTTACCTGGCTGCTTCTTGCTCCTTGCGCTGTGCGTTCCTGCAGGAAATGACCCCTGCTGGATACAGAGTTCAAGTGGGGTGGGGTGGGGAGGGAACCGGACAGTTTTGAAACCCGGGAAGCTTTCCTTCCTTCCTTAATCACCACAAACCATGGGGTGTGTGTGCTTGTGTGTGTGCCTGAGTCTACACTTCCTCTAAAGCAAACTTTTAAAAAATCAACCAAACATCTCTCTCACCATTCACTTATGCCCCTGATCTCCCGCTTAAACACGCTGTCCAATCAGCTACTTGTTTCCTGGGGACAGCAGTAGCAAACATCGGTGTATTTAAATGGAGTACAGGCATCTCAATGGGGTCGCTATGGTGTTGGTTTGTGGTCCTGCTTCAGTACCATAGCACTCCCAATAGAACAGTAAGAGAGAGAGAGAGAGAGAGAGAGAGGGGGGGGGGGATATTGCCTGTGGGAAGAAAAAGGGCGTGGAAAAAACGTCACTGCAGGAAGCGCTACATGGCATTTTACACAGCACGCCATAGCGCTTCAGAAGCAGTAGGAAGAATTAAAGATGGAAAGAAAGCAGTTCGAGTCAACAACACTAGTTCAGGCACCCTTCCCAAACGGGACAGAAGTGTGTTTGTCTGAACAGGTAAATATATTCTGTTAGGAGCCAGTTACTAAAACAAGTCTGTCTGAAATGACAGGAAAAAACCATTCGTAACCAGTTCCTGAAATGGAATACATAGCTTGTCTGAAAAGGGCATATGGAGTTATACCCGGCTGAGGTCCCTCCCCTTCCCAAGCCCCTCCCCCTTCAGGCTCCACCCCCAAATCTCCAGGTATTTCCCAACTCAGAGCTGGCAACCCTATCTCTCCCTCTTGAGAGGGGGAGGAGAAGGAGCAGAAGAAGAAGAGGAGGAGGAGATTCAACTTATACCCCACCTTTCACCTGGGGTCTCAGAGTGACTTACAGTTTCCTTTCCCTTCCCCTCCTCACAACAGACGCCCTGTGAGGTAGGTGGGGCTGAGAGGCTCCTTTGAGGACTGCTCTTGAGAGAACAGCTCTGAAAGAACTTGTCACAGGTGATCAACTAAGCACTCAAACAGATGCTGTGATTTCGATAAAAGGAGCTCTCAGGATTTATTTGGACAAAGCATAAGGAGTGGAGAAAGAGGTCAAATCTTCTCCCCTCCCTCGCCATTTTCCAGACCTGAAATGGACTGGAGGAGCTGCTACTTTAGCCAGTGGGGAAACTGACACGTACATGTATACCCCGCCCTTCACTACCCGAAGGAGTCTCAGAGCGGCTTACAAACTCCTTTCCCTTTCCCTCCCCACAACAGACGCCCTGTGAGGTAGGTGGGGCTGAGAGAGCTTTGACAGAAACAGTTCTTTTTCAAGAACAGCTCTTATCAGAACTACGGCTTGCCCAAGGTCATCCGGCCAGGTGCAAGTGGAGGAGTGGGGAATCAAACCTGGTTCTCCCAGATTAGCATCTGTGCACACTTAACCACTACACCAAACTGTAAAAAAGCCAGACAGTAGGTGATATGAAAGACCCTCTGCCTGAGACCCTGGAGAGCCGCTGCCAGTCTTAGCTGACTGACATTGAATGGACCAAGGGTCTGGTTGAGGATAAGGCAGCTTCATGTGCTTGTGTGAATAAATAAACATAAGCCTCCCCACTGGGACACGTAGCGGCTCCCTGAGGCAGTTTGGGAAACAGTGGAGGGGAGGGGTTAAGCCCCTTCTCCCTACACGCTCTGGTTCTGATCTGGATCAAGCTGGTATGTGCCTGGGAATCAGATTCCCTGTGGAGAACTAACTCCCAGTACACATCTGGCAGAAATATGACTGGCAGCCATGAGGGCTTTATAACACGCGAGTCACCCCTGAGGCTGCCGTACCAGACTTCAGCCACTCACTTTCCCCCTCTGGCAGGGGAGGCCATGCAGTGTGGCGCAGTTCTCCTGCCACATGAGGACTGTGATCACCTTCCCGGTTTTTTCAACTCTCCTGTACCCTGAGGAGAAGACAGCATGAGAGAGTGAGCGTGATGCAGTATTAGACCGCCAGCCTAGAAAGACCCGTGTTCATATTCTGCTATGAGGCTCAGTGGGTGGGTTCCTTGGGCGAGTCACTCATTCTCAGTCTAACCTACCTCATGAGGTTGTCGTGAGGATACAATGTGGAAAGGAGAACCACATATGCTGCCCCTGAGCTTCTCGGAGGAAAGGCTGGATAATAATGTAATTTTTAGATAGACAGAAACATGCTACTGAAACAGCGAAAGGGGGATTTGTATCAGTGGCGCTGTTTTCAGATCCCAAAAAAGCAAGATCACAATCCACATCATACCTTTTATTAGGACCAACCCATGACAGTGTGGTAGCTTTGGAACTCACCAGGACTCTTCAGCGGACCAGACATTACAAAAAGAAAATTGAGGGGAAGAAAAACATGGATTGTGTTTTTGGTTTTTTAAAAAAAAATTATTTTGGACTGACACAGCTATAAACAATGCCTTGTTTCAGAGATCCAACATGAATAGCCAGCCATACTTTATGGCTATGGCAAATGTATTTATTAGGGGTGTAGAATTTTTCTTCCTCAGCATTTTTCGGTTTGGGTCTGTTGGACTGGAAAAAAATGTGGGATTTTTGAAAAAAAACCAACGGATCCCAATACTGGTAAAGTATTCGGATCCAGGATTTTTCAGATATCCTGAATTTTTTCAGGTCCAATAGAAGAAGAAGAAGAAGAGGAAAAGAAGAGATTGGATTTATACCCTGCCCTTCACTACCCGAAGGAGTCTCAGAGTGGCTTACAATCCCTTTCCCTTCCCTTCCCCACAACAGACACCCATTGAGGTAGGTGGGGCTGAGAGAGCTCTCTCAAGAACTGCCCTTGAGAGAACAGCTCTGAAAGAACTTATGACTGACCCAAGGTCACACCAGCAGCTGCATGTGGAGAAGTGGGGAATCAAGCCTGGTTCTCCCGGATTAAAATCTGCACCCTTAACCACAACACCAAACTGTCTCTCTAGACCTGAACCGAAAAACACAGAGGGGGAAAAGCAGTGGCAAAGCCACTAAAAACACCTAAGAAGCATCTCAGCTGGGGTTCTTTGGGGCAGTCCCTTTAAACCGGACTGCCCAACAGAGCCCACTTGGAAGCCGGTCCATGAGCTGATCCTGAAGGGAGAACTCTCCCTGCAGGCTCTGCTGGGCAGCCCAGTTTTGCCAGTAATTCCCGAATACAGTAATTCCCGAATTCCCGGGATTTTTTGGGGATTTCCCCCCCGGTTCTCCTGAAAAATCCCGGATACATTTGGGAAGCCGAAATATACCCGGAAAATACCAATAAGATGTCTTTCGAGTATATTTTTGGTTCGAGTAGACCCGGATGCACACCCCCTAGTATTTGCTTACTCCATTTGTACCCTGCTTTTCTCCCCTGTGGTAACCCAAAGCAACTTACGTCATTCTCCACAAACCTCTATTTTATACTCACACAAACAACCCACTGTAGAGTTGCCAGCTCTGGATTGGGAAATAGCTGGAGATCTGGTGGGTGGAGCCTGGTTGAGGGGCGGGGCCTCATAAGAGAAGCCAATGTCGGGTCAGGCCAATGGCCCATCCAGTCCAACACTCTGTCACACAATGGCCAAAAATTCCAAGTGCCATAGAGGCCTCCCTCCAAAGCAGCCATCTTCTCCAGGGGAACTGACCTCTGCCGTCTGGAGATAAATTATAATTGCGGGAGATCTCCAGGTGCCATATGGAGGCTGGCAACCCTACCTGTGAGGAAGGCTAGTCTGACAGCGCACGAATGGCTCAAGATCACCCAGCAAGCTTCCAAAGCAGAGTGGGGAATTCGAACCAGGGCCTCTCAGATCACAGTATGACACTAGCCGCTAGACCCCCACTGGTTCCCTGGGCCTAGACTTCTTTCTGCTATGATCCATTTCAACATCTGTGAGACATTCAAGAAGCCGTTGACTGGGAATGGGGGTGGGGGAAGAGTGGAGGATGTTCAGCCTAAACGGAGCCCCCCTCAGAGACGAAAGGAAAAGAGCACAGAGGCGGGGGGGGGGATTAGAGGAGAAGGCTGGCTTTGTTGCTATGAAATTGTCACCAGCCCTGTGCTAATTTTAAACCCTGACACCCTGAGTCAGAAACGCCAACACCAAGGATACACATCTTTTTTTGGGGGGAGGGGAGCTGCCTGTTTCATCCCCCCCCCCAAGAGACAGAAACAAAGCCACCATATCACAAAACAAAGCAGGCATTGGAAACACCTTTCTCTACATTTCGGAGGGGCGGGAATAGGAAGGGAAGGACCTTCAGTGGCCAACGTTTAGCCAAAAGACACGGTCCCACCAGCACTTAGTTATGCTTGGCCCCCAGTTCTGTCTGGAAATATCACTTGACTCTGAATCCCCAATACAGAGAGGTCACCACGTTTCATTGATCCTACATCATATCCTTGTTCCACTTTTCTGTCAGAATTTGTTCCCAAAGTGGCCCACAGGAATTTAAAAAAAAAATCATACGAATGACATTAAAATTCAATACCAGTGTTCTTTGGGGGAGGAGATTTTCAGCAAAGCTTATCCAAGTACGGTGGAGGGATACAAGGCAGCTTCCTGCCTCCCCCCCTCCTGGATTTATGTACTTTGATTACTGGTTTAGCTCTTTATACCCCATTTTTCTCCCCATCGGGTACCCAAAGTCACTCACAACACCCGCCAGGGAAGGATGCTGCACAACTTTGGGCCAGTCACATCCTCTCAGGCTAAAACAGAGGAGAGGAGAATGATGTAAGCCACTTTGGGTCCCTGTTAGAGAGAAAGAGAGGGTATAAATGAAGTAAACAAAATAAAGCATTCTTCCCTCCTTTATTTCCCCCCTCACAACTACTGCCCTGTGAGGAAGTTAGGTTAAGAGTGGGCGACTGGCCCAAGGTCACCTATCAGGCTTCCCTAGCAGAGTGGAGATTACAAACCTGGGTCTCCAAGATCCTCGTCCAACACCCTGATCATGACACCACATGGGAGGAACAATGGCTCAGTGGTAGAGCATCTGCTTGCCACGGAGAAGGTCCCAGGTTCAATCCCTGGTATCTCCAGGTAAAAGGACTGGGCAGTAGGTGATGGGAAGGACCTCTGCCCGAGACCCTGGAGAGCTGCTGCTAGTCTGAGCAGAGACAATACTGACTTTGATAGACCGATGGTCTGATTCTGTATAAGGCAGTTTCATGTGTTCATGGGCTCTCAATCCCTGTTCACGTTACAGTGAACACACATACAGACTACCTGTACGTGTGTACACACCAGTTTGTAACAGCCAACACGCATTCTCTTTACAAATGAAACTGGGGGCCCCTACCTGGATATATGTGTGGTTTCAATCACATATTGAGTTGTACCTGCCCTGAATGTAATGTGAGAATTACTCCACGCACAGGTAAGGAAAAATCAAGTGCACGGAGATTGGAAATGCATTCACTGTAACTTGTGAACAAGGCTTCTGCGTCCCAAAGCTACTCTCTGAGAATGGAAAGGTACTTGGCACCTACTCAGAGACACTGTGACTTCTTAACTTTTTATTTTCTAGAGCTTCTTAACTTTTTTATTTTCTACGCCTGGCACTGAAAAACCCAAGGGGGAAGCCCCAGTGAGCCCTACAACAAATTAATTCTGGATCTCACCTCTTGATTGAGCTTCCTGATGCTCTGCTTTATCTCCTCGGATTCTGCAGCTAGTACCAGGTTGGCTGGTTCCATCCCTGCAAAGAAATCGAAGGATGGGGGGGGGGATGATGAGAGAGAGAGATTGCCCTACCACTACACCAAACTAGCTCTAATTCAAAGGGTAAGGTGCCACTGAAATGGCAAACTTCTGTATGGGCTGTACCAGGGGTCATTTCCTGCAGGAGCGCACAGGAGCGGAGCTCCGGCAGTAAAGAGCCCAGGGGGCGGGCACATGCAACAAGCCCCACCCCCTGCTCCCAGCAGCCCTCAGTCAGAGCAAGAAGCAGCCAGGTAAATTGCAGAGCCCCCCCCCCGGCCCGCCTTCAGGGCAGATCTGCATGTCCATCCCCCCCCCCAATAGCTAGCAATCCAAAACAGTCTAGTGGAGCCTGAGCGGTGGGTGTTACCTTCTGACACACGTCCGGTGATGTCAGGGGGTGTGGCATATGCAAATGAGTTATGCTAATGAGCTCCTGCTCCTCTTTTTCTACGAAATGACCCCTGGGCTGTACTACTTCTGATGGAAGTCTGGGTTCGCAAGACTGAATGTTTCTCCATACAAACAAATCCCCTGATGCAGAAGGTCAGCATGTCAGGGTGAAGGACAGATTAGAACCCTTCTTTTTGATAAGCAGTTTTCCGTGCAATGGGAATTCTTTTTTGAATGGAGGAGCATTTGGGCCTGCGACCTGCAGTCAGAACCGCTACAGTTTAGACAAAGGGTTGGATCCAGACTAAGCTGGCAATTTCCATCAATTCCCTGTTCCCACTGCAGACCCCCCTCACGTCATTCCTCAGGGTCTCCCATCCACCAGGAGCAGCATTTTGTGCAGCTCAGTGGGAGAAGGAAGATGAGAAAGATTCATTCTGCCACTGGAAAATTTAGTCTGGATCTACCCAAGTTTTTGCAGCCTTTGTGAGAACTAGGCCCAGTTCTGCATAAAGAAAAGCTGATTGTACAACATGTGCATTATGCAGATCAGACATATTTGCATACACCTTTCCCTCCACAATTAATTCTTCCACCGCCCATTGTAGGGCATCATGAGCAATTCACACGTCAAGGAGGCCCCAAAGCCAGCCCCTTCACTCACTATGATGATCCATTCCTGTGGTTTTACACTCTCTGCTCTCGGGGTCATTTTGTAGAAAAAGAGGTGCAGGAGCTCATTAGCATAACGCATTAGCATAACTTATTTGCATATACCACACCCCCTGAGATCACCAGAAGTGTGTCAGAAGGCAACACCCACTGCTCAGGCCCCACTGGACTGTTTTGGATTGCTAGCTATTGGGGGGAGGGGGGAACGTGCAGATCTGTTCTCGCAGAGGAGGGGGGGCTTGTACCTGAATAAAACTTGGTCTTAAAGGTGCCACTGGACTGTTTTGGACCGGAGGACGGGGGCTCTTCAGCTTACCTGGCTGCTTCTTGCTCTGACTGAGGGCTGCTAGGAGCAGGGGGTGGGGCTTGTTGCATGTGCCCACCCCCTGGGCTCTTTACTGCTGGAGCTCCGCTCCTGTGCGCTCCTGCAGGAAATGACCCCTGGCTCTCCCCCATTAAGAAATTCCAGGGGCACCTATTCACACAGTCAGAAGCGCTGGAGACTTAAGGAGGGATGCTGGTCTCTAGGTGGAACCTAGGAATTCCCCTGGAATTACAGCTCATCAGTTCCCCTGGAGAAAATGGATGCTTTGGAAGGTGGACTCTGTGACATTGCACCTCACTGAGGTCCCTGTCCTCCACAGGCTCCACCCCAAAATCTCCAGGAGTTTCCTAACCTGGATCTGGCATCTCTAAACCCCCCCCCCCAACTGGGGGGACCTGACAATCCTACCTTCCCCCGCTTGCCCGCAATATCTCTCACTGCCCATGCTCACATCCACCTACGCTGCCTGCAACCCTTTACCTGGTGCCCCCTCAACAACTGGTATTCAGAGGTATACTGCCTCTGAACATGGAGATTTCATGACAGTCATTGCTGCTAATAATTCCAGGCGGGTGGCCAGTTGTGTCCATAACAATGAAATTAAATGTGGTCCAGCGGCTCTTTAAAACCCTACAAAAATATTCCTACATAAACTTTCATGGAAGCTTAAGCGACAGGAAGTTTGGTTAGTGTTTAAGGTACCACTGGACTCCTTTTTTAAAAAAATCATGGCTAATCATCCCGGGTCAGAGAGCTCTCCTCCATGAGTGTTGCAAACACCCCTTAAAACACATAGTAAATTTTTTAAAAGCTCAGTGGGTCTTTCCTATCAGCCCCATTTATTTTGCCTCTCCCATATACAACTATTGTGATTTTTTTAAAAAACCCACAACCCTTATAATTATTTATTACATATACAGAGTCTGCTGTTGTTATGTGAATCTGCAGGGTCTCCCATCCACTTGCTCAGAAAGCCGATACCTGCTTGGCTACAACATCTGACATCCCTTGACCGCTCTCCGCACCTTCAGAAGGTCAGCTGTGACGACAGACCTATTATTTCAGTGGGCCTGGTAAAGAGATCGCCACCCTTTTCGTTAACGTAAAAGCTTCTTAATGAGCTCTGATGCTCAGCTGGTACTTCTAAAACTAAGTGAAGATAGCTTTTGGTCTACAGAAGGTATTTAAAAAAAATGAGCGTTGATGGTTAGTGGCTAAGTGGCTCTCGGCTCCCATCAAGACAGGTAGAAGGACCACTTGGCCTCCGTCGTCATGGGTACCTGACACTGCATGCTCTTGGGCTGAGCTCTGTGGGGTCTGGTCCATGTTGAAACTAAAGGTTTGCGATTCCGATGCCCCACCATCATCTTCAATTCCATCGACGACTCTGAGGAGATGGATTAGTAAACCAGAGGTTTGAAAAATGGAAGGGAAGAAGAAGAACATTTTTATACCCTGCTTTTCTCTAGCCAAAGGAGTCTCAAAGCGGCTTACAATCATCTTTCTCTCCCTCCAACAGTCACCCTGTGAGCTTGGTGGGGATGAGAGAGTCCTAAGAGAACTGTGACTGGTGCAAGGTCACCCAGCGGGTTTCATGCGGAGGAGTGGGGGAATCAAACTTGGTTCTCCAAAAGAGTCCGCCGCTCTTCACTACTACACCACGCTGGCTCTCGCTGGGTAGGTCTAACAATGGCCATTAGCCAAGAACATCATTCCTCATTTGTGTGCTTTCTCCGGGCATCTGGCTGGCTACTGCTGGAGACAGAGAACCATATCTGATACACTTGTGATTTGATCCAGCAAGGTAACTGATGTACACTGGTGGTTTTAAAAGAGTGCGTCTGGGCATGTGCAGAATGCAGACGTCTCACCAGCAAGAGGAGCCAACCATTGATCTGAAATTAGAGGAGGGGACCTTCCAGGTCAGAAGGTGTGACCGTTCAGCCACTTTGAGCTCTGGCACAATTTCCCTTTAAGAGATTAAGCGCTAGACAGACACGCATCTTTCAGTGCAGGCAATGCACATTTGGAAGTCATTCACTCACACCGAATAAAGCACTTTCAGTCCACTTTCAATGCACTTTAGCAGTTGTTTGCAAGTGGATTTTGCTCTTTCACCCAGTAAAAACCAGTTTGCAAAGGGCATCAAAAGTGGATTGAAAGTGTGTTATTCAATTAGTGTGAAAGAGCCATAACTGGTGTTGATTATCCAACCACGGGAAGTTATTGCAGGTTTTTATATCAGCGCCCCGGAAATATTTCTTCATGCAGTACAAAATAATACTTTGCGTCATTAAAACCAGACAACTTTTTTTAAAAAAAGCAAATGTTAAGCTGGCCAAATTTGTTCAAACCAGCAAGGATCCAGCACAGAAGAAAGCCAGTCCAAGATATTTTGAGGCAGAAAATTCAAATGATCCCCTAGCTCAAGCCCCGGCCTTTGTAGTTAGAAGCAAATCTCAGGTAAGAGAGCTAGAAAGGAAGGGAGGAAAAACCCCTTCTTGGCCTGATTACCCTTCTTTGCCACTGGGTATAGACAGTGCTGAGTCAGAAGGACCACCCATATATCGCAGCTTCACATACTTAAGTATCAGTGGGTTTTGTGTGCACGTACAGCTGCCTTGCACTTAATTTCTAAAATGGGAAGTGCTGGGTCTCAAGCTTGCTGTGAAAATCACACCCTGTGCCCTGGAAGCACAAATCACTAAGGACAGATCCGTAGGTATGCCAACGGTGCTTGGCACAGAGGAATTTAGTTTACAGTTGGATGGGGTCCTGGGGTAGATCCCCCTAGGATTGTTAGTATGAGGGCAGAACCAGCTGCCAGCCAGGATGTGAGCTAGGGTTGCCAAGTCCCCCTGGGGGGTGGGAAAATCCCCACCTGAGAGGCCCGTTCCCCGCTGGCAGGGATTGGGCCACCGGCAGGGACCCCACCCCCAAAGCACGTGATGTGCCCAGCGTGTGTGACGTGCCCGGAGGTGACGCAATCGCATCGGGCACGTTGCGGGGGGACGCTCTATCATCCGAGGGAAAACTCTATGATTTTCCCTCGGATGATTGTGGCCCCGCCCACAACGTGCGCGACACGATTGTGTCACTTCCGGAAAATGGCCACTTTGGAAGGTGGACTCCATGGCATCATACCCCACTGAAGTCCCTCCCCTCCCCCAACCCCACCCTCCTCTGGCTCCACCCACAAAATCTCTAGTTATTTCCCAACCTGGACCTGGCAACCCTACTGCTAGACCACACGATCTCTATCGCAAGGGCACATGCTTCAGACATGTAATTTATCTTAAAAAGAGACCCGGTGGTTTTGGTGGAAGTGCACAGAGGCAGCTACTGGCCCTGCATTCCAGTCTCCAGATGCCGGGACAAAGGTGGTGGCGGAAACTGCCGTCAAGTCACCTTTAACTTATGGCAGCCCTGTAGGGTTTTTAAGGAAAGAGACATTCAGAGGTGGTTTTGCCATTGACTACCTATTATTCCAGGACCCTGGTATTCCTTGGAGGTCTCCCATCCAAATACCTGCTTTAGCTTCCGAGATTCTGGGTTGGGAAATACTTGGGGACTTGGGGTGGGTGGGATTTGGGTAGGGGAGGGACATCTTTGAGGTAGAATGCCAAAGAGCCCACCCTCCAAAGCAGCCATTTTCTCCAGGGAATCTGACCTTGGTCATCTGGAGATCAACTGTAATAGTGGGAGATCTCCAGGTGTCACCTGGAGACTGGCAACCCTGTTGGGCTATCCTGGGCTATCCAGGTGGCCCGGACAGTGACCCAGCTGTAAATGGAGGGACTGTGAAAAGAAATTATGGACATTAAAAAGAAAAACAGAGAGAAAACAATATCTGAGTTAAATCTTCACCTTTTAATGTACCAGTCTTGTATTGCTCTGCAGAGGGGCAGGAGGGGAGTCAACATTTTGACTCAGCGAGGGCAGCAGCATACATGGCGGCCACCCGGAATGACACCCATCCTCTAGTCTGCATCCTGGAGTGGCTCACCACAAGGGGCCGCGGCCGTCAAGACCAGGACGCCCCCCAGGTCAGGCTCCAGCCCAGACTGACAGAATAGGGCCAAACAATATGCTGCGTTTCCCTCACATCCTCCCCGTATCCACCATGAAGACGGGGAGACATGCACTGCAAGGGCCATGCTAGGAACAGCACTATGGGGGGATCCTAGTTTGCACCACCACTCAGGCATGGAATATTGCCAGGTGACCTTGGGCCAGTCAGCCTGACCTACTTCCTAGGGTTAGAATCATAGAGTTGGAAGGGACCTCCAGGGTCATCTAGTCCAACCACCTGCAAAATGCAGGAAATTCACAAATGCCTCCCCCCTACACCCCCATTGACCCCTGCTCCATGCCCAGAAGATGGCAAAAAAACCCTCTTGAATCCCTGGCCAAACTGGCCTGGAGAAAACTGCTTCCTGACCCCAAAGTGGTGACTGGCATATCCCGGGCCATGAGAAGTCAGCACTGAGGCAAGCCTTCCTGCCCTCCCTTCTCGTGATCTGCCTAAGGTCACAGAATCAGCATTGCTGTCAGATGGCCATCTACAGGGGTCATTTAGTAGAAAAAGAGGTGCAGGAGCTCATTAGCATAACTCATTTGCATATGCCACACACCCTGACATCACCAGATGTGTGTCAGAAGGCAACACCCACCACTCAGGCTCTACGGGACTGTTTTGGATTGCTAGCTATTGTGGGGGGGGGG